ACAGGCTTCTTTCTCAGAACATGCCAGCGAATGCCTCCTTGCATCTCCTCCAGGGTTTTTGAGCCACTCCATAAGGACCACGGCCAGGATCATGCTCTCCCTGGAGACAGGGATGGAAATGAATTCCCTACGGTACTGGGCTTCTTGCACAAGGCATGTTGTGTGGATGCAAACTGGGCCCCCTTAGGAAACAAGTGAAGGAGGACGGCAGGTGGGGACAAACAACTACCTCCCCACATCACAAAGAGTTAACCTTAGGACAATCGTTCTCAGACTGGCAGTCTATCCTACACAGACATCCTGGAACCATAGCTGAGCAAACACAGCGATCAACGTGACCGTTACCACTGTGTCTCAACTTACCTCCTGAGCACAGGCAACTTGGAAACAAAATCCCTCTTTTTGTGTTTCATATGGAAACGACCTGGGCCAGAGATCATACTAGGCTGCATGGTCCAGGAGAAGGCAATTACTTAGGGAAGATTCAAGGATGGCAAATGGCAACCATTCCTCCGTTTGCTTTTAGCCTATTGGGATTTGCACTGTGCATGCAACAAGCACGTATATAAAACTCCATAGTAAGCCTATTCCTGTATTTAGGATTTAAAAAAAAAAAAAAAGCCTGCCATACACCAGAAATTGGCTGGAGCCTGGAGCTTGGCGCTGCAGACAGAGTTAGCAGTTTGTAGGCTTTGAAGTGAAAGCTTTTTCCTCCTGCTTTACTAGCAATGAAAAGAATTTTAAAGAAGAAGTACCAAAGTTAGTGAGAAGTATTTTTCCATGGTGAACGATGTAATGTCTTTTGGTATATAATCCTCTATTTAGAAAGCTAGATGCCTTCAAGTCCTCACTGGCACTAAGGCTGTGTCTTACATAACCGCCATACACGAGAAATACGGTTGTGAATACCTGTAATATTTTACAGTTGTGAATATTTTAAATATACCATCTTCTCCTATAACACCCAGCACTGGCTTACATATTGTCATGGAATAATATTTTAGGTGTTTTAAAGCAGCAGTTCTCAAATTTTAAAGGAAGCGTAGCCTGGAGATTTATTAAAATTCAAAGGCTAGGGCCCCACACCAGAGATTCTGATTCAGCGTGTGTGTGTGTATTCCAAGTATGCATTTTTTGCTGTTGTTGTTGGAGGGAGGTTGTCATTTTAACAAGCATCCCAGATGATTCAGATGCAAGTGGTCAATGGACCTTGAAGAGAAACATCTCATCTAGAAACTATAAAATATTAAAATTCTATGGCCAAGAGAATTGGAAGTTTAAATCACAATATTTCTATTTATAAAAGTTAAAAAGTAATTGGTCATTCCAAGGAAAATAAGACTCTGCATATTATACTTTTCTCATAGGTTATCTTATTATACCTCCACCACACTCCTCTGAGGTAATTGGGGTGAGTGATATTATTTTGACTTTGCTGATAAGGAACTTAATGCAAGTTAAATGATTTACCAAAGGTTACAAAGCTAGTCGGGGCAGGTTGCTCAACTTTTAAACAGAGGTCAAATAGGATGGCATCTCCTTAGACACTCCTAAAATGAGAAGCTCTGATAAATAACATGAAGAAAATACAAGCATATATCCTGATCCAGTTTTAGGTCAAGTTCTCCTCATCTAATTCAAAGCTCTACTTCAGCAGACAACTTTGGGCTAAAGGAAGTTTTTCATTCCCCTTCAAGCATTGGCTTTGGGGACCCATCATAGAAAAGCTTATTACCTATTACAGTGAAGAATCATCACACGTGTTCCCCAGCGGAGGACTTTGTTATTATCTCCAGGATAGGTATAACCTGAGTTTTTAATTCACTTCAGACTTGGGAGTAGAAAAATGAAAAAATAGGGTGCTCCTTAAAATCCCACAAATGTTGCACATTTTCAGGAGAAGTACACAGATAACTTTTTTGATTTCAGAAACTTTCCCTGGGACTTCCTGACTCATTGTCTGGCTGGGTTTAGGGCACCATACCATGAGGTGCTTTAGGGAAGATAAAGACTCTTTGACAGTGGAAAAATCACTCATTCTACAGCCTTCCTTTCCTTTGCCTTCAAGGGAAAACCTGCCTTCCCCCTTGTGAGAAAAACTCCAAATATAATGGACAAGACAAAGAAATATTTAATCAAATTAGTTTAGGAAACCTCAGCAGAAACAATGCATCTTTTCAACAGTTTGTGATGTTATGAATAGACACTGTTTCATGTGTTGAGTCTGTCTCTGGCTCCTGGGTGAGAAATGCCGTTTGCTATTAGACACTAGTTTCATTCTAGAGCTCAAAGGAACCATGTTCACTTGCCAAAAACCTGCTGCTTCATAAGCTACAAAATATGATTTATAAAAATAACTACAGTAGCAGTTATGATGATGATGACGATAAAGCAGTCTTTTCCCAGAGTACCCTTCACTCCTAAGCACCAACTGATGATGATGATGATAAAGCAGTCTTGATGATGATGATGATGATGATAAAGTAGTCTTTTCCCAGAGTACCCCTCACTCCTAAGCACCAACTGTTACCTTGGCTACTATTACAAAATACCATAGACTGGGTGACTTATCAGTAACATAAATTTATTTCTTACAGTACTGGAGGCTGGAAGTCTGAGATTAGGGTGCTGCTGAGAGTCCTCTTTCGGGTTGCAGATGCCTAGCTTCTCTTGGTTTCTTTGCATTGCAGAAAACAAGTGAGCTAGCTCCCTGGCCTCTTTCTGTCAGACACCAACCCCATTCATGATTTAATTACCTCCCAAAGGCCCTACCTGCAAATACTATCATCTTGGGGGTAGGACCTCAACATATGAATTTGAGGGGGACATGCACATTCAGTTCATGACATCAACCTGGAACGAAAGGGCTGGGCATGGCTTGGGCATGTTTTTAACAGCCCCCACCAAGAAGTCAATTCCTGTTATTGACTATATCTGGGCCCACTTCCCGTCTCCTTTTGGAGGCAGCTGGAAACTACACTTCAGACTACTTTTAGCCATTTTCCATCCATATGATTTTTTAGTGTTAAAAAGAGTGTTTTTTTTTAATACTTCTCTACTACTTTTCAAAGAGTGAACAAACCATTGGGCGGCAGATACCAAGTAAAGAGTATTAAAGTTGGCTCTGAGGTTATTTTCCAACATGCCTTCACCACCCAGAGCTCTTCCCAGAGAAGGACTGCCGATGATAAATGGCTCTTTAAACACAGACAGTGGAAATCCCATGACACAAAGACTATATTAATCGTCTCATTCGAAGTCAAATGAAAGTCTCAGTCTTAGCCAGCCATTTTCTATTTCAAAATATCATTTGCCTCATGGAAACAAACCAACAAAAAAGTTTAAATGACATGGTTTATGTAAAATATAAAAGGTTTTTACACTAAAGTGTCATGTGATTTAATATTATAATTTCTTTGCTTTTAGATGGTAGGAATAGCTCATTAAGTTTCTTCAAAAAGTCCCCAACTATGGAAATTTCACCATTAAGCTGAACCTTGAACCACAGAGACCAGCATGTGACTTGGATAGTGAAAACAGGGCATGTTAGTGACTGCATGGTGAATGTGGCCCCCCATACTTCGAACATCAACCTCTTTTTGGGAGTGAGAGTCACTAACCAGCATAAGTGTGTCTCTCTGTTGAGGGCACTGGCAGTGGCTTTCCAAGAACTGGCTTTGTCAGTGGTCGGTCAGTCACATGCCAGCTAAGCCCATCCTGCTAGCTGTCACTTTCCTCTAACTTAGAAAACTGTCCACAGCAATAGCCGCACTTACTTTAATTGTCTTGCATAGTAACATTCCTGAGTAAAATATTCATCAGACCTTACCTACGCTTACCCAGAAGGAAAGAACCCCAAAACAGATATATAAATATGGACACCTTGCCAAATGGTCATCATCGTAAATACTTTTCTTGACTTGCTTTTTGGAAACAAACCACGTTGCTCGAAAATATAACTGATTTCCTTAAATGTACAAAATCTCTTTGCTGGGAAATGCTTGCTTTGCTACACAAAAATCTTCTGGATCCATTCACTGCTCTGTAATTTCCTCTGTCACCTGGATTTGGAAAAGAACTGAGAAGTGTGTGTTTGTCCTTGTTCCTTACAGAAGGCAAAGATGCATTAGGGGACATAGCAGCCCATTCCAGTCGGCCAAGTCCCTGCTGCTCAGTATTCACACACTGAGGAGGCCTGGGTACCCTGGGGTACATCAGCTGATCGGTTTACCAAGTAAAAGGGGCAAACAATGCTACCTCTGGGTTATCTCACATGAAACAGCTGCTGGACATGTAGCTGGAGTTTTGGTTCATTTCTGTGCAGTAAGTAAGGCAAAGATGATAGCAGTCAGGTGTGCCTTGCACAGGCCTGCCCCCAAAATATGTTTTCCTGGGCCAGGAACACCAGTGGATACAGAGGAAACCCCAACCCACAGTTCTCTTTTTCCCATCCTTGCTCCTGTCCTATAGCACAGCATCTGCATGTAAATGTAGGGCTATCCCAGTGCAAGCGTGCAATGGAACAAGTGCACATCCTTTGCAAGTAGCAGCCCCTTGGGCCCAGGAGCTCTCACACTGGCATGGATCTGGTAGTAGAAGCAGGAAGTCCTGGGAAGAAGAATTTTGGCTGTTTGGAAACTCAGGATCTTAGGGACCCAGGAAATGGACTAGAAGTGGGCTCTGGGCCCGGAGGGGCTGGTCCTGTGGGGCTTCATTTGTAAACTGAGGAGTTTTAGAGCCCAGGACATGTTGGGTAGGTCAGAGGACTTAGGTGGACAATTTTCACAATAGTTAAAATTTCAAATGCCTTTTCTGTGGACTGGACAACCTCTTTCAGGTTCCTGATTTATTTTGTTTACTGCCTGATATATTGTGATGGGAGCAGGCAACACCAGCCTCTCCTGAAGTTCATCGTTGTCATGAGACACAGAAAGACCAGACACAGCAAAGCATCATTGTTATGAGACTCAAAAAGTCCATTCACAGTTAGTAGCACTGACCTGCCCTTTCATATCTGGAGCAATAGGAATGGTGGGCCAGATGGTTGAGTAGACACCAAAAAACAGCAGCCAGATCAGCATGCTTCCCCAGACGGCCAGATGACTGAACTGCAGAAGAAAACACATACTCAGGCAGGGCAGAGGCTGGCAAGGGAAGCCACCTGACCCCACCTGCTGCACAATCCCTGGGTCCAAGCGAGTTCTCTTTATGGAAGGATTCTGATGACTCCCCAGCCATTGAAGAATTCAGTCTTCCTGATCTCCTTGTTTCCAAATGTTTAACAAGGAGTTCAAGTGATGGGTGGCCTCGAACTACTCTGAAGACGAAGGTGCTTTGGCCACCACAGCTGACCTTCCTCTAGATCCATCCTGTGGTGTTTGCAGGCCCATCTCATTCCTCACCAGTTGTTCCAGTCATGAAACAATGATATAATCCCCAAACATTGGAAATAAGCAAAATGTGTAAAACTGGGGTCTGATTAAATAAGTGATGGAACAGTGATAAGATTCAATACTCAGTAATCATGAAAAAATGATTTAGTAGAAGTATACTTTAAGGGACAGAAAATGTTCATGATATATTTTTAAGTAAAAAACAATGAAAAATTTCTGTGTTTTGTAATGCATTATCTTTTCAAAAAATACATAGAACAAAGTCTGAAAGGTCATAGAACAAAGTGTCAACAGTCACTTTCTCTTGGAGCTAAAATTATGGAAATTAAGAATTTTCTTTTTGTCCTGTATTGTGTGTATTTTTTAAAAATGTGCACATACATTTGAAATGAGATGACTGTTAATAGCTTAGAGCTATATTACGCACTAAGCAAATGAATCTTCAGCAAACTTTGGATTGCAAATTTGCCCTGATAAAGATCAAACCACAATTTTTACATGCAAAATTTAAAATAAGATATCTGGATACTGCTTATTGTTTTTGCAAGACTTAAAAAGGTATCATACCAGGAAAGTATCTACAATGAAGAGAAAAATAATTCTAGAGAAAACTTACTTTAGTCCAAGCTGTAGTCTCCAAACCAGCTTTCAGACAAACAGTGACAACAACATACTGTGAAAAGAAGAGGCATTTGGGAAATGGCGTTATGCTCAGTGAGTTGTTTTTACTTTGTGGGAAACATCCCAAGTGTCCCCTCCAGAGGCAGCCCCTCCCAGGCAGCTGTACTTGGAAAGTGCTGTCTAGGTAGCTAATTCTCTTGGGGCTAGTTTAGGGAATACAGGCAGGTTTACTTCAAGAAAAGCCCTCATTTTAGTGAGTTTTCTCACAATACTTTCTTTTGTTCTTTACTTCACCTAGAAGAACTGGGAGAAATCACCTTCTTTAGTGTTCTCTTGCACCCCCTCCCCCACCAGGTAGAAGCAGGATGGTCATTTGAAGAATGGGGAGATCTGTAAATCATTTGTTCAAAACTCTTGACTCTACCTAATCTTCACCAAAAATGAGCTGAACATTTCACAACCATTTTGAGCTCTAAGGAGTCTAGAATATATAGTTTAAAGATCTGAAATAAAGGGTTTTGATAGGCAGAATCCACACCTGTGCTATTTAAGAATGGTTCAGTGCAGAGAGAAATAAACCTACCGTGTAAACAATATTTCCAACAAATAAATAGTCAGTGGCATGACCGTTGGCCAACACAGTATCTGAAAAACAAAGAAATTACTACTAACCTCCAGAGCACAGCACAGCACTCTACATCATTCAGAATGTAAAAACAAAACTTTAGAAACATTTACCAAAATGTAAAGGAATTTCAAAAATTATGTCTGTGATTCTGAATTATTTTTATCATGTATTTCTCCAAATGAAGCAAACAAATCAATTTCCAACAAATGAAACAACCACACAATTGACCTGCATTGAAATTTAGAGTTTTATAAAAGTTAAAATCTCCTTTTTTGGGTTAAAAATAAGAGTAGAATATGGACATGTTAATCTATCTTTATTAATGGCAGTATTAAACCATTTCCAAGGGTTCATTGTCTAGTCATCTTTAATTTCTGCTAAATCTGAATGATAGGCCAATTAAAAAACATAACTACATGAATACAAAATCATTTCATAATTGTTGAGCTCAAAGAATTTTGGATGATATTTTCTAATCTTCACATATGCAACTACATGACCTTCTGGAGCCTATAAATTGAGGGAATGTAAACAATATGATGAGGGACATCTAGAAAATACAATAGGATCTTGGGGCTTTAATTTTCATATCTTTTCCACTTGTTGCTTTTCAGGGATGACTATTACCATGTATGTAATACTAAGGCAGAATTCTAATAGAATTGACTCATCATGTCGCCAAGCCTGCTGCGAAAACTCTGGTTTTTATCCTGAGGGATCAAAGCCTATTTTAAGATCAGGAATGGTGTCTTTGGATGACTTTGTCAATCTCCTTTTATTCTCTTTTGTTCTCAAATTCAGACCTGGGGCCTACAGGCCAAGTATATAGGGAGTTTTGTGTTCAAATTTTCAACACAGTAGTTACTACACACAATACATAATTGGGCTTATGAATTTACCCATCTGCTTGTTGAATCCTATTAAAGAGTCAAAATCTGGAGAATCAGGATGGTGGAAGAGTGAGTGGAAGTCACACAAACTTCCTCCTAGAAACAATCAGGAATTACAACTAAATTGTGGAGAAATCACCTTGAACAAAAAACTGAACAACAATGAGAGAGGAGCCTTATAACCTCAGACAGACAGAAGAATCAGCTTTAGCGCAATCTAACTGGTAAGGAGTGCGGTAGAGACTAGAGAAGGCAGGCAGGGTGCCAACAGGTGGCAGCACCAGAAGGATATTGAAATGGCCAGTTGGATCCCCCTGAGCAGAGTGGGGTCTAAACCATAAGTGGGGACCTCTGGCCTACAGCACCAGAGCCCAAGAAGTACACAGATAATAGCCAACTGCAAAAAGTGGCGGGGTTGCTCTCTGCCAGAGACAGGAGGCTGGAGACACAAAGAGCCATTTCAAGGGCCAACGCATAAATTTTTATTTGCAACTAATTATCTTGGGCTCCAGCGAAGGTGGGCTAGAGATGCCTGAGGAGAGACTGGGGAAGGAGGCTTTGGGGAGAGAACTGAGAGAGTAGCAGGTGGGGTCCCAGTGATGACTCATCCCCCATATGGCAGCAGCCATCTTGCTCAGGCAGACAACTCTCCTGAATGGTAACAGCATGAGAGGACACAATAGCCCCATCCCCAGAAGGGACTCTGCCCTGGCCCAACAGTGCTAAAGCCTGATGTCTGAGTACAGAGTGGCAACCGTAGATAGTAGATCCTTGACTAAAGAGGTCACAGAGTAGTCTAGAGACACTTGAGGAGAGACTGGAGACAGAGGCTTTGGGGAGAGAATGGAGAGTAGCCGGCGGGATCCTGGTGCTGATTCTTCCCCCACACAGCAGCAGCCATCTGGCTCAGGCAGACCACCACTCCTGTGAGTGGCAGCAGTGTCAGAGGATCCAATAACCCCACCCACAGGAGGGACTCTGCCCTGCCCTGTGGTGTCTCTAAGCTGGCCTGCTGAATGCAGAGTGACTAGATTAACAGCTGAAGGAGACAGACACAGACAGTAGATTCCAGGAAGTCTCGAACAGACTGTCTAAGGTCAGACAGGGTCAACAGCTGACATCATCAGAAGCAGATCCAGAAAGAAAAAACAGCAGGCTCCTACCATAGAAGTTCAGACCACAAAGTCAGAAAGTCAAGACAGATCAATTGAAGAAGCAGAAGGAAAAAAGAAGAGTCTCACAAATAATGGAAAGACAAAGAAACACCCCCCAGTCAAAGGGAAAGGAGGAATCCACAGAAAGAGAAATAAATTAAATAGAGGCAAGTAAACTATCTGATACTGTGTTCAAACAATGGTTCTAAGGAAGCTCACTGAGCTCATAGAGAATTACCAAAAATTACAGGGAAACTACAAGGAACTTACTACAAACAGTATCAGCATGAAAAAGGTCATAGGAACTATCAATAAGAGACAAGAGGAAACAAAAACATTCTCTGAATTGAAAAACACAGTAGAAGGAATAAAAAGCAGGCTAGAAGAAGCAGAGGAATGAATCAGTGAGCTGGATGACAAGGTAGGAAAAAAGCTCCCATAAAGAGCAAGAAAATGAAAAAAGACGCAGAAAGAGTAAAGAAGCGTTTAGGGAAATGCAGGAAAACCTGAAACATAATAATACATGTATAATACGGACACCAGAAGGAGAAGAGGAGGAAGGGATAGAGAACTTGTTTGAAAGAGTAATGATGAAAAACTTCCCTAATTGGAGGAGAGAAAAAGTCACACAAGTCCAGGAAGCACAGAGGGTCCCATTCAAGAGGAATCCAATGAGGCCCACTCCAAGACACATCATCATTAAAATGGCAAATATCAAAGACAAACAGAGAATCCTAAAGGAAGCAAGGGAGAAAGAGGTAGTAACATACAAAAGGGCCCCAATACGACTAGGAGCTGACTACTCAACAGAAACACTACCAGCCAGAAGGTAATGACAAGAAATATTCCAAGTCATGAAAAGCAAAGACCTGCAACCAAGACTGCTCTACCCAGCAAGGCTCTCCATTAAAATGGAAGGCGAAAGGAGTTTCCCAGACAAAAGAAGGCTAGAACAATACATCTCCACCAAACCAGCATTGCAAAATATGCTAAAAGGACTGTTTTAAGAAGATGAAGAAAAAGAGTCTATGAATACCCAGTTCCTTTCACAGTCACCAATACTTGATATTACCAATATTTTGAATACTTATTAATCTGATTGTGACATGATGTGTTATTTTTTTTACTTTATTATTTGTTGAAACTGAACCTGTTTTTGTATATTTCTTGCCTATTTCTATTATTTTTAAAAAGCTTTAAATGACTTTTTGGTATTCTTTATCTATTTTTTAATCAAATGTTTGTAGAATTTTTTCCCTTAAAAAAAACTATTAACCATTTTTAGATGTGTTGCAAATACTTTCCTATTCTATTACTTGCCCTTTAACTTTTTTTATATGTCTATTACTATATAGTCTTAAATGTTTAATATAGTCATATTGTCAATATTTTACTTTATAGCTTCTGGGTTTGAATATATTACTTCAGGGTGAGAAAAATATTATTTTGTATTTTCTCCTAAAACTCCTTAGATTTTACATATTGATTTTTAACTCAACTGAATATTTCTTGTATAATGTGTGAAATAGGGCTCTATATTTGTTTTATTTCAATTAATAGTGGTTCATGCATCTTATTTGTTGAATAAGCTTTATATTCCCCATTGATTTGAAATATCAACTTAATCATATATTACATTGTTAGATAGATATATATGTTTGTTTCTAGAATGCTCATTTTATTTCATTGATCTACATGATTGTTTCTCTGCTGGTGTCATGTTTTAATTGCTGAGACTTTATAACAGATTTATATTTTTTAATATTTTAAAATGGATTTTGACATTTAAAAAAATAAATTAATAAAATCAATCTGCAGTTTTAAAAAGAAATAAAGAAAGAAAGAAGGAACTCCTGCCTTTTGTAACAACATGGATGGAACTGGAGAATATTATGCTAAGTGAAATAAGCCAGTCAGTGAAAGACAAATACCATATGATCTCACCTATAAGTGGAATCTCTTCAACAAAATGAACTAACAAACAAAATAAACCACAGGCATGGAAACATTGAACAGACTGAAAGTTACCAGAGGGGCTGGGCAAAGAGGACAATGGTAGAAAGAAGAGAAAGGGACTAGACAAAGAACATGTATGAGTGACCCATGGACATGGACAACAGAGTGGGAATTGACTGTGGGAGAGTGGGCTGGGGTGGGATGGGTGGAGGAGGGCAAAGGGGGAAAAACTGAGACAACTGTAATAGAATAAGCATGATTTAAAAATGAAAAAAAATTTTAAAAAGAATCAAAATCTGCTTAGTTTTCTAAAATACCCTTACAATCAAGTCTCATCATAGGCAGAACCTGGTAATCCTGGAATCCTGGATCTAGCTCCAGGGAATGTCCTTCCTCCTGATTCTAGACAGGTAATTAACTACAAAGTGATATCATGGCTGTAGCACAGACAGACCTAAACTGAGGGACTGCAGCTGGGGAACATAAGGGTTATCCTAGGAGGAGACAGAGGGAGAAAGAGAGAAAGGGGTGGGGGAGAGAGAGATGTGGCCACTGGCTTAAAGAGGAATGATCTCAAAGCTTAGGGAGAGAGGGTGGTGAAGAAAGAAAAGAGAAAAGTTCAAAAAGTAAGGGAAAAGCTAAATTAACCTCAAAAAGGTAGTAAGTCACTGTATTAGCAAATAGCTATTCAAAACTGTGGGAGTCCACTTTTCTCTAAGATTGTTTTAATAAGAATGTGACATTTTTAAAGGCATTCCTCAATAAAGAAATGCTTGATTAGACCGGAGACCATTTATTTGACTCTAACATATATTATAGCCTTGAAAACAGTAACATTATTCTTTCTTTATACAACAAATATTTATTTGAAGTCTACTTTATGCCAGGTACCATTATGGAAACTGGGGAGACAAGGTCCCTATATTGATGTAGTTTCACATTGTAGGGTGGGAGTGAGACCATTAACACAAACAGATATACAATATGCCGGCAGGTGTAGTAAGGACTATAAAGAAG